GTATTATTCTTTACGCATCCTAATAGAATTTGGAAATTAAAAATTTGGGCTGGGCCGCTGGACACAACAGATGTGGCATTTCACTTCATCTTGTAGCAGATACATACAGATGCAGACATGGTCTTTAACCACTTAACTTTCGTGTAAAGGTTATTTGACTTGTCTTGAGTCTTATTCAAGTCTCGGTTTCCTAGCCAAGTCTTGAACCTGGGTCCACAACCTCGCCACCTTGCCAAACGCTTTTGTATCTAAACTTACGTTGCAATTTTATTAAGTTTATTTAAGTTCAAATGACATTTCATACATAACATTATTTTATCAATCGAAGTAATGAAACCCATCAAATATTTGTATTGTCATCAACATGTTTGGTTGAAATGTTCTTGTAAATGAAGATTTTAATATGTATAAATTAGTGCTCATTATGCAAAATGGTTTAAATATATTGCACCTTAATCTATTGTTAGTTGTCAGCATAATCAAAGATTTATGCGTATCTAGTACATCGTCCGTTGTTAGGGGGGAAACCCCTGATTGGTATATGCATTTATAGTGATTTGTTGATGGTAATGGGGAATCCCCGATTGATGTTGTAACCACAACTGGTGTGTTTCTGTCAATGCTTCTTGTCTTTTGACTGTATGTATTAAATCGTCACTCATGGTTCAAGCAATTTCAGTGTTTTATTCTGTTTTTTTAATAAAAATTGTTCTTGGTCGACATGCCCCACCCTCGCCAACAAGTAACGTAACAAAAATTAGGATTGAAATGAATGATATATTTTTTACGAGCACTATAGCACATTCTCCCGAGATTTAGAACTACTTGGAAAAGCACATTCCTATAAACATTCTGCTCCTTATATTGTTAGAAAGTCCCATCATGTCATGCCACTGTCCTTAAGCAAAATAAAATCAATGACTGCATGCAGTGCTTACTGCTACCACTAAACCGCACAACCCGTTTAAGTGTAGCATCTCATGTTTCCAAAAAGATTTGCCAAATGGTAGCCACACCCAACATTGCTTAACTAGACGAGAATCGTTGTTTCAGTGCGACATGGCAGCCATGATTTAAAAGGTTGATGATGACAACTACAATAAGTATGATAAAAGCCTATGGGGGTGGTAGGCCTAGAGATGGTGATAGTAATGATGATTACCTTCGTATCATACGATCATGATTAAAACAATTTTCCCACGACTTTAAAAACAAATCCACTCTTCTGAAGGGGAAAAGTCCCAGTAAAATAGATCACGATAGTGACGAAGAAAATTACAACAATAATAATGATCAGTGATATATAATTATATATAAGTGACACAACAACGATAAATTGGTATAGTAATAGGTAGAACTACTGCCTCTACATCTCTGCTTACAATTTCGTAGCCACTTGTTTTGGGGAAAACATTCAAAAGAGAAATTGTATTATTCAGGCCAAGGCAGTGCCAGT